AGGGATGACTTGCTACCAACTGTCACAGCCATAGCTTTGAGCACATCGCTCAGCTCCGGAAGTTTCTGTCTGCAAAGGAAGAGTCCCGTAAAGAGCTACTTGCGTTGGCTGGTATTGAAAATTTTATTTTGGGATCGTATGTGCTGACAAAACAGTCCACAATCGACAAATTTTTTGCCGGATGAATAAACTCAATGTCACAGCTCTTTCACGAATGTGTTATGCCTGTACTTGCTTATAATTAGGCCTATGTAGAGGAAACTGGCAAAAATCTGCTTTGTATGAGTAGCTATCCATGTAACGAATCATAATGCTGTCTAGTATCATATTTAGATGAATTTCTGATAATTCAAACTAAAATCTGTGACTTCCTGGAGTTTGAATTAATGAGACTCTACTGTAGTTTGCTGTACGGCATTTCGCATTCAGCGAGTCATTTTGCCACTGTACACAGACGAAAGCATAAAAGCGTTCAGACAAGTTACGCATTCACGGCTGCACTATGCTGGCAACTGTAGGGCCGTTCGTTAGACTTTGCCCTTGGTGAAAGAGTCCTGTTTGTAACACTGTGCCGCTGGAGCAAATGCACAGATTGATTGCTACTTCCTTGGCGATACAACCGCTGCCTTCTCACGTCGACACATGGGAAATACCGCAAACAAAAGCAGACACCGTCACGACTTGGCAAGGTGAAACCGGAGAGGTCAAGAGCGGAAGAATTGCTTGAGTGTTGACGTGCTATGTGGCATCAACAGCTGAGGCCTGCCATTAAAAAAAAACAAAAAAAACTAGTTTGCAGTTTCTTTGCTGGACGTGACGTCACGACAACTGACGGCAGCGATTGGCTGGCAGTGACGTAGATTCTTTTGGGGGGAATTTGCCACTGATTTCATAACCTGACATCAAATGTAGTTTCTAAACATGGCAGATATAATCAGGCCAGTTTCCGTCCACAATGCTGCCGCCTAGTCTGTCGCACAGATTATTTCCGTTGCCAAGAGGCAATTGGGGCTTTATGTAAACATAGGCTGGACATGCGTGTAGAAAAAATAACATGAATGACCGACCACATCATTGACTCTTCCAACATATTGCAAAAAAACAAAACAAAAAAACCGACAAGTCAACATTTTTTTTATTTTTTCTTAATTTTTTCGTGGCTGTCGTGTAACATGGAAGTATAAGTACCAAGTAAAATAAAACTAAAGAAAAAGTACATAACGTAAGGTGTACATGAACTCTATAGATATAATACCAGTCCCAATGGTTTAGCAAAAAAGCCAGTCTTCTCAGAAAAACCCCTCTCTCACTTGAGTCTGTTTTCTAATATTTGAATCTTAAAAAGAAGTTGCCCCGAAAAAACGGCAGAAAATACACAAAACAAAGTGACAGTGCCTAAAAAGGTCACACCTGCCTTTTCACATGGCTCTCGGAACTACATGCAGTGCAGGATGCAGAACGGTACCCATGGGCTAGCTGCAGTTGTAACCCAGTGCTTGTAGTGTATCGCAGCTGCTTGGAAGGGAGAGAGGCCACCTCCTTCATGCCGTGGTACCGGGAAAAGCAATACCAATAAACTGCAGGCGTCGAGCACCTTGTATTTCTGTGCATCCAGAAAGCATTTCTGGGACAGCAACGACAGAAAACTTCAGTAACACAGTGAACAAAAAAGAAACCAAAAGAGTAGGCATGCAGGCGAGTGTGAATTGTAGACACAGCTAAAACTCAAGGCACAAGGAAGCAGAAAGAGGGCACATGAAGAGGCCTTTCGACTTCCTTGCATGTCGGGTTTGAGTCTCGTACCGGGTAGTCAGAAGCAACAATACTGGTTCCCTAGCCTTTCCTGTCTCAAGAAGCCTTGGAACAAAGATATCCTACTCGTCATTCATCTCGTTTTCCCTTCTCGGGCGGATTAAAGTGCACGCTGCGGCAGTAAACTGCCTCAAAGGGGCTCAACTCACACTTCTAAGAGAATGATTGGCGAGCAACTTCTCCATTGTGTACTACGTGCACTCCATGTTTTAAAGGGGTACTCCAGCATTTTCTTCATTGTCCCCGATTTGCCTAAAAACTTGCTAAACACATCAACAAACATCGCTGAAATAGTAACCGAAATAGCTTTTTTTCGCAAAGTTACAGAATTTACAATTTTGGTCATCATTGTGCTTTTCAAAGTGAAAAGCTCTACTGGCAACATTGAAATTGAGACGTCATGCGAAGGCAAAGGTTCACTCTTATGGCTGTAGACTTTGTTCACAACTGATCACAAACAGTTTCATGGTGTCAAAAGAATGCTTTGGAAGGTCGCCCCAAATCCCACCAGCAGCACGAAACAAATGCTGGGCATAGTTCCTTTCTACACAGCCGCTCGAACCGTGAGACTGTCCCATCCCGTGACGCAAGCACGTAACTAGAGGGGGTTCATGAAGCCCGGCCCGACCCGCCCCGCCGCTGCCGCCCCCAAAACAAAATTCTGACTATGTGCCTGCTTGACGTCACGGCAATGAAACGCACAAGTATATTTCAATCTTGGATTGGCATCATACACGACAGTGGTAGGAACATTACTTGTGTCGAGCTAGAGAAGCCATATTGGGAGCTACCCCAGCTACGTCCACACTGGATTTCATGGCAGTTATGTGCGATGCAGACAGCTTTCACTATTTCAACCGAGTGCCTAGGCAAACACAAAAGCAGCCACATAAGACAATCAGGAAAAGATGCCGAGTTGTACAGGCTAAGGAGGAAGGACATAGTGCAGCGAGCTATCTAGTCCAGGCTATTCCTGAAGAAGAAGAAGAAGAAGCCACCTGGGCGTAAGACGTGTCTTTTCGATCGTCAGAGAGCCAGCCAAACCAGTGCCACAGACCATGTCTTCGATCGACAGGGGGTTCTCACGCTGCCCAGTTACAAGCTGGACCGCAAGCTGGGACACTCCAAGGCCCGCTTTCGTAAAGACCGCCGCCTGGCCAACACCGGCGCCAACCCCTGCGGGGGTGCTGGACTCCCTGCGCCGCCGGTAATTCGGCCGGCTCGTATGCAAGTATGGCACGCGAAGAGCCCTCTCCAGGCGCTTGAGACCGGCCTACCAGTAGTAAGCAGCCCATGGCAGCACCGCGAAGACCATCACCGCGAAGATTGCTGCTAGGCCTAACACACCATAACTTTCATCTGTACATTACATCATCACATAATCACCATCACTAGACACGGCACCGCGGGCCTCCTTGGTACGGGCTCTTGCCTTTCTGCGGTGCCGCGGCTCTCCTGAGCAAATAAAACATTACATTACATTACATTCCTCTGAGAAATGCTGTCAGTGGAAATGTAGGTCAGTTATTCGCGACATTAATTTAGGTAACTAATGCAAGCATTACACTATTTTGCATCTTTCTCTACTGCAACGCTAGTCATCCGCAGCAGAAACAACGCCCCAAACTAAAAAGAAGTCTCGTTGCATTGTTAACACAGACATCAAGTCCATAAGCGACCTGGAGTTCATCAAAGCACAACCGAGACTCTCTCGGAAGTACTTGGTTCCTTTTCAGTAGTTATTGAATGAAAACACAGTGCAGTGGTGATTACCATCAGCACAGCCTTGCCACTGGCACTGCTGTCCCTCGGGTGGCACATGCACGACATGGCCTGCAAGCCACATATATCCCTAAAAGAAAGCTGCATAGGATGCACTTACCGTGGCTAGCGTCGCCACCCAGCGAGCTTGCACAAACCCTCTGCACGGCACGCAGTGCTGTTCAGAACAGAGCGGCACTGGCTAGCCAGTTAATGCGAAGGCTTGTAGTGTTTTGCTGCTGCCTTGGCAAAGCTGCAAGTCACCTCTTTCACGCCTTGTGGTGCCCATCAGCTTCAAAAGAAACGGTGTTGAATCGCAACCAGCTATAACCTGTCGCACAAGGGAGAAAAGGGTGTGAATGTGCAGACTCCTATCTGTTTGCTTTTGTCTAGCGCCTGAATTTTGTTTGAGAAGAAAACAACAATGACACTTCTTTCACAGTAATATGCAAAACAAAAACGAGAACGGCTCGGTTATTAATAAGTTGTGTGCAGCAGAGGCACGGGTGCGAGTGCGTAGCTCCGCAGAATGTTCTTTTTGCACGTCTGCTCGTGCAAAAAGGGCGCTTTTGCGCTCGGGCCTGTGCCTTTTCTGCAGACAGCCTATGTTACAGAGTGTATAGCACGCCTTCGAGAGCACTCGCGTGCGGCGAGAAATCCATAATATACAGGGTACGACCGCAGGAAACCTCGCAGGGGTGCAGGAAGCTGCAAGTGCACGGTGCACCAGAATGTGAAACTAGAGGTGGTGATAGAATTTCACAGTTTGAGAATATGACGTTACTTGGGTCAAAATATAGAAACGAAAAACGTAACTGCCTTACCGGCTGATGATAAGGGCCATCGGAGCACGACCAACTATTTGTTGTGATGGGGGCATTCGATTGGACGCGGGTTGGTAAAGATTTGAAAAACACGAAAGAATAAAACATGCAGGAACGAAGACAGACAGCGCAGTTCTTTGTTGACATGAAATGTAAGATCAAGCACATTATTCTGTCGGATCAAATGGTTTTGTTGAATTAGGTTTAGCTCGCAAGTCAGCCGTTCTTCGGCGGGCTTTCAGCTTTCTGCGATGGTTGTTTTAATCGTGAACGCAGGCTCAAACAATGTACACAGCGGCGCCAATTAGATCTGAAACGAAGAAAGAGCTCGGACGCGTGGAACGAACACACATAGAGATCAAATCACAGGAAAACTCAAACCACTCACTTTTCGTCCGACGACGGTTCGTCAGGCACGATGTTTCCGATGTTTCTCCGGTTTCTCCGGGCGTTGAGGAGACCGCGTCTGTTTCCGTGCTCCTATTGGTCGTGACGTCACCAAATTTCATCCAATAAAGTGCGCGCCGAAGTTCTCTCTAGTCGCCGGTGTTCTGAGCACGTTACGTAGATGGCAGCACCGAGCAAATCCGCACGCTCCCTTTTACACCTCGAATTTTGCACGTAAACGCCATAATATCCCGCAAACACGCGTCCAAACGAACTTTAAAAGCGATTTCAGGACGTTTGCGAGTGAACGCTGCCACTTTGACGCACAATTTTATAACTTTTCTGACCCGGCGGCCGTCAGTCATTATCTGGCTTGCTGACGTTACATACCTTGGCGCAGCAGCAGCAGCGCTCGCCGCTGCCGACCCTCTCGCCGACGGAGAGCTTACCTGTTGGATTTCCACGGTGTGTGTCGGTTGGGTGTTCGTGCACCGAGATTTTTTTCCCTGATGGGTGTGTCGGTTGTCCAGACCTCGACGGCGGCATGACTTCATGTGTTCCACAGGCCTGACCCCAGCCGCTCGTGGTCTGAGCACGTTTGATGGGATTACCCTGCGTTCGGATACCAGAACTCCGGATAGCAGCGCGATCGGTAAGTTCATAGACAATGGCCCCGAAAAAAAAAAGGTCTCCCCTGGAATGTTGCCGGTACTAGGCTTAATTGACGGAGTCTTTTTCGTGGAGTTGTCATCCTCTCGGAGGCCGAGTGTGCTGTCTTGGCGTCTTTGAAAGTTGCTTTCTCTCAAGGTGCCGTGGAATGCAGTGCGCTTCGCTTGCGTGGACGGATCAATAGATCCAGCGTGCGGAAAACTTCGGGCACGAAAAATGTTTGCGCGACGCCGGGGAGACTGCTAATATGCTGCTAATGCGTGAAGAATTTAAATGTCTTCCTTTTTTTTGTTTCGTGATGTGTCCGTAAAGGGGGAGGAGGAATATATGAAATGTCGTGTGTACCTTAACTTTGGAGACTTGTCACGTGTTTTCATACTACTCAGACCTGACTTGTGGTATGACAGAAACTTCAAAGCGGCTTGTGTCAACTTTGAATTTGAGGTTGGGTCGAATGTAATATTTGTGGAGGTAATATTTGTGTCAAAAATAAAAGTCGAAATCGCTGTATAGATGTTCAAATAGAGCGAATTCTAAACGTCCCTACAACGCTTGCTGTGGACGGTGAATTTGGCCAGTGCAGTACCCACTGCTAGCCTGGGATCTTGCATGTCTCTCTCTCAGCAGTGATTCGAATTTGAAGTTGTGTCAAGTGAGGTAATATTTGTGTCAAAAACATAAGTAAAATTCGTTTATGGGTGTTGACTTTTAAACATCAGTACCTCGTCTAATACATTAGACGGGCAATTTGTTCCATGCAGTGCTTACTGATAACCTGGGATCTTTGACGTGTATCACGCAGCTGTTCGAAGTTATGTCGAGGGGGGTAATATTTGGTGTAAGAACTAAAAGGCAAATTCTTTGTGTAGAAATGTTCAGACAGTGACTTCTAAACGTCACTGTCTGGACAACGTCTAAAATGTTGTCGGACAATTTGGCCTGTGCAGTGTCTTTGACGTGTATCACGCAGTAGCGCGGTGCACGTCAGGCATCTTTTTTTTTTTTTTTTCTCCTTGTTTGCGATTTTTTTTTTTTTTTGCAAGATATAGAAAAGGAAAACGAAAAATGGTACTGCTACGCCATCCGTATCGTTATCGAAAATGTTTTTGAGCCGCATATCTGATGTTCGCACACAACAAATAGCGAAACATGGTTACGATGCACTTACCACCGGCATTAGCCCGCGCTGACGCAAATATTCCGCCGGGCGTGATCCAGACGGTCGTTTGTTCTCGAATCTTGCGACGACGAGGTATGCGGCGGAGGCAAGGCCAACCGCGCTAAATATTTATTTATACGAGCGAGCGCGCCCATGTTATCCAGTTGGATGCTGGCGCGAAACAAATACCTGCACGCGCACTGGGTATTGTCCGGAAAGTTAATCGCTTTTGCTTGTTTCTGGGCCGGGGTGATGTTGTCATGCCGTTTGGGTTCCCACGCAAGTTCCGTCGCGATAATTACAGTTAGAGTATCCACACTTCCCGATTTTCTTGTGAGCGCCGCCAGGTTGTTGCTTAGTTCAGTGCGGGCGCGATTGGCTATCGACTCGAAAATGTGACTTCCTGAGCCTTAGGTTCGGTGTCAGGAAGCTCAGGCGATGTCGTTTTGCTCTGTCGCGGTCTGTTTTGACATTTCTAAAGAACAGAAAAAAGAAAAAAAGTTTCCTGCGATTTCAGGTAAAGCTTCAGATATCGGGCACCCATGGTTTTGAGCACAACGATGCATGTGCAAAGGTGTCGGCGTGGTATCGGATATCGTTATCGGAGTCATCAAAACCATCTACTAGAACTCTCTAAAGCGAAGAAGCTTCGAAGCAACAACCGCATCGGATGGATGGATGAATGGGTTTTACTGGCGACGATGGAAGGACGGAAAAGAAAAGGATTACAATGACATAAAACATAAAAAATAGCGCAACAAAAAGACAAGGACAAGAAGTATACAGGACAGGCGCTAACTTTCAACTAGTTTTATTCAGGAAAATCGATCACATATATACACACGACAGGCAAAGCAGCACCACGTAAAAGTTGATTAATTTTTCACCCGATCACTCAAAAACTGAAATTCATTACAATGAAGAACAATAGAAGTGTCGCTGACACATGCCGTCCCACTTTTTTTTTTTTTTTTGATAAAGAAAGCTTCCACTAGCTCTCGAGCGACCGTCTCTCGGCTTCTTCCTAGTATCCGTATCTGCTGAAGTCGCGGAACACAGCCACACGTGTTGCAATGTATTGGCAAATGCGTTGCAACGACCAAACAAAGAGGCGATTAGAAGATTGGTGGAAATTATCTTGGGAAAACTGAATGATGAACAACTAGCTAGCACAGCTGGGGACAAGCGGGTCAGAGGAAAATTGGGACTCCCTCCCGCGTGGCTCCGGCCCAAAGTCTCAACCCTGTCTCCTGCAGTGGGTCCGGTGCTGGGGTAACCAGGGGTTTCCCCAGGAATTGAAATCAGGGGGGGTGTCTAAATTTTTTTTTTTTTTTGGGTGGGGGGGGGGGGGGGGTTAAAGGGGAGGGGGCATTGCGAATATAGGAGTCGTTGTGAATTAACGAAGCGGAAACGGAAAAACGAAAGGGGGTCCTAACCCCCCCTAGGGGGGGTCTAGGGAAATCCCTGGGGGTAACGCCGACAAGGTTTGACCAGAGGAAAATTGGCGACTCCCTCGCCGGGGGGTTGGTGTTTTTGGTTTTTTTTTTTTGCCCGATCCCCCGAAGGTCATCCTGGTGATATCCCACATTGCCTGGTGATAGTTAGGGGGAGAAAATTGATCTTAGAAGGGCGGGAGGAATCGTATAGAGTTTTTGTTTTTTTAGACTTGGGGCTAGGTGGCGCATCACTCCATCCGATGACCGAGGTGTCTGTCGTTGCTCCGAAGCTTCTTCACTGGCCCTATATATCCTCCGTTTGACATTAGAGAGTTTGAGTAGATGGTTCTGATGACTCCGATAACAATGTCCGATACCCCGCCGACGCCTTTGCACATGCATCGTATCGGGTATCGTTATCGGAAATATCGGAACGATCTGCTCAGACTCATTGGAGAGCTTTAAGGAACGGTTTTTGCACTTCCGATACGATACGATGGGCCGTCCGGTACGAACTAGGGGTGTCGCGAACTTTTGTCGAACCGGATTTTTAGGTCGAACTTTCGGGGTTTGACTGGGTCGAATCGGTCGACGAACCTTCGAAACTTTTCACCAGATTCGACCGGTTCGACTTTGCGGACAGTGTGGCCAGACCTTGATAGACGCATGTCTAGATTTGGAGAATTTATTTTTATGCAAATGGTTATTTTATTTTATGAAGAGTTGGAATTAAAAGAAACTACTTCTAATCACTAAAGACGTTAATAACTTAATTTTTTTTGTACTGTATTAACTGAAATAACCAACCAGCGGTGTCCTTAATTCATCTATTAGCCATTACCATCCAACCCAAAGCCAACTGGCCAGCCTGTCGCGCATGCGCACAGGAGTCGAACCTCAATACAAGGTTCGTCGAAATTTTCACGAAAAGTTCGAAAAAGTCGAACCAGGTCGAACTCGAACCTCGGCCGGTTCGCGACACCCCTAGTACGAACTTCGCACATGGGAGTCTTCTGTGGTAGCGCATGCGCAGTTCGTACCGGAGGCCCCATCGTACCGTATCGGAAGCGCAAAAATTTGTGTCGCCAAAAACGGCCCGTGGTTTTTTCCGGCAATTTCATCGACCGTTTCCGCGGTGACCGGACAAAAGCTCACCCGTTTTTTCAGACCCGGACAAAAGCTCACCTATTTTTTCTTTTTTTTTGACTACCAGGGCGAAACACGGGCTGGGATAAAGTGCGGACGCAATGGACATTGCACCATTTTTAGGAGAACTGGTTCTCCGTCCCTTGCAAAAGTGTCGACAAATAAGCCATAAGAGGCGGAGAAGCAACGATTTGGGAAAAAAATTTAGGTCACCGAAATTGAGTGGAGCTGATAATATCAAGCTTGATTGACTCACGCTATGCCGGAGTACCCTTGTTCCACGCCGAAGAAACTTCGTGAATCCAAGTTTTTGTGCTTATGTCACGCTAAACGCGCATATAAAAGTTAGGCAGAATGCCTCTTCATTACTAATGCGTGGGTTTTTTGGGGGTTTAAGTTAATATTTGAAGTGAATGGCTAAGAAGATTATATTGTTTCCTTTAACCTCTTTAGAAAGCTGTGCGGGATTTTGAATAGGCTGGTGTTGCTTCCACCACAGCTTGGGTTCGAATCTCTAATCAACATACCATGTCAGATTTAATTTATCATAGCATTTTAGTGTCGGACGCATCTACCTAAGTTGTCCGCACTTTAAGACCAATATGCAATTTTCTGCTGGTGAGCTTTTGTCCGGGTCTGTGAAAAAATGGGTGAGCTTTTGTCCGGTGAGCTTTTGTCCGGTGAGCTTCCGTCCGGTGAGCTTTTGTCCGGTGAGCTTTTGTCCTGGATTCGTTTCCGCAACGGGCGGTTTTCTTCTGCAAACAGGCGATACGTTTGAATAGGCTCGTAGAGGGTTCTAAACACTCGAAACTTTTATTGGAATATGATTTTTGTTGCATCCTCACCGCCACTCATCGCCTTCTTTTCTTTTTTCTTGCTTTGCCGGCGGCTACACCGCCTCATATCTTCTGAAGGTCACGGACATGGATACTGTTTTTCTTCTTTTTCTCCAAAAAGAACGAAAAAACCGGCACCCATCTTTCCTGCCCTGACGCTTTATTTTAAAGCGCTTCCTCGTTTTTGCCCTTGCCACGGGTCTTTTCGAGCGATTAGAAGATATGTTCGTGATCGTGCACTTCGCCTCCTCCTTTATATATATGTATTTATTTTTTTGTTATCCGGGTATTTTCTTTTATTGCCCGTCGAGCCGGCATAGCAGCCTGCTGCGCACTGTTCGTGATGCCGCGGCGCCCCTTCTTTAGTCCTCGATCGTGGAGCGCCATCCCCTCGAGCGAACCGAGC